CTAGTAAAGAATTACAGTAATCCTTTCTTGAAGTAAATAGATGCATGGACTAGCAAAGGTGGTCAACTTTTTCATGAGAGCATTGAGGAACCACATTGATCCCAGATCACACACTGAACTTTGTTCCAGTTGTTGATTGTGATGTCTGTAGGTGTTGATACATCTTTCCAATATACCAGATCATGGAGCACATTTGTTTGTTGTCAGACATCACCAACAACATTTTTGAACTACCAGCAAAGGAAACTTTTAAATGCATACAACAGATGATTATTTCAGATCAAACACAGACCCACGTCCAAGAACCAAATACAACAAAGGGCTAAGCAGGTTTCAGCTTTTTTTTTTAGCTCTTTTGTCAAATCAGTATTCCACATTACCTGTTCAACACTAGTAATGCTAAATTCATTTAGGATTCAATCTCAAGCCTGAAAAACAGTAGCAAAAGTGATTTGTCTTTTTTATTATCGAGGAGCATATGGTGCCTATTGAGGCAATACATTAGAACAGCTGTTGTCTCATTCTGACTGTTGTCTGTGTTGCACTTTTATCATTACTTATTTTAGTTTTTCATAGTTACACACTCCAAAGTTAATATATAAGCCCTCTATGCCTCTGTGTCCTCTGCCTTTAGCTTCTGGATCCATTTGTAAACTAATGCAGAACAAAAATCAATTCTTTGAGCTTTGTATTTCCTCGTAACTTTCATCCTTCAGATTGTTGGCTGTGAAAGCATCAAACCACAGGTTGTGGTGAGAAAGCTGAGGTTTGTGAGTGACTCCTACAGCATATCAGGAGGTTCTAAGATAAGACGCAGAACTTCCCCCATTTTTTCCTTTTAACTGATCAAAGTCTCTAGCTGAAGTTGTGTTTTACCAGAAATCAATTTTAACTAAATCAATGTATACAATGGATATTGGTTCTTAAAATATCCCTTTACTTTGATGATGCTGTTCGTAAAAATGCTTGAAAATTAGGCCGACTAGTTTCCAAAGTAAAGGCCTGATGGGACAAGGTAATTCAGCCTCTGTATGGTTTTTTTTAGTTTGAATATTAATGCAATCAAGCTGAAATGCGTGCAACTTCATAGTGAAAGCTCTGCCGTTGTGAAGTGTGAATGTCCCCAGATGATGCAGACACTCAGCATAGTACATCCAGTAATGACTTGGATGACTCTACTTTTTAGGCCCAATTATAATTTTTATTTATATACATAAAATAAATGTGAAAAAAGTAATTGTAAGTTTTCAAATCAAAACTTTAGTGCAAGAGGATTGATCTTTTTCTTAAATGTGAACACTGAAAACCATTTTAATCATTTTTTTGTGATCATAAGATTCAAGATTTTAAGATTCAAGGTCATTTTATTGTCATTACACAGGTGTACAACAATTTTGACTTTGGGCTCACTACCACAGAGGTAGTAAAATATAAGTAAAATAAAATAAGATTAAAATAGATGTCACACACACGCTCTCACTCTCACACACACACACACACACACACGCGCACACACACACACACACACACACACACACACACACACACACACACACACACACAAGTCTAAAACTATAACCTGAAATAAAAAGTGAATACAATATAAATGTAAACAGTCATGTGCTGAGGTATCAAGATTAACTAGCATAATGTAAATGTGCTGTAGTGCACAAACTGTCCAGCAGGATCATGTGACCTCCTAGCAGCAACATTCAGTTCAGTAATGGCTCTTGCATAAAAGCTGCTTAACAGCCTGGTGGTGCGTCTTTTCATTGCCCTATATTGTTTACCAGACTGAAGAAATTTGAAGAGATGGTTAGCAGGGTGGGTTGAGTCCTTCTGGATGCTTGTGGTTTTTTTGAAGGCAGCGAGTGGTGAACATGTCATCCAGGGCAGGCAGGTGTGTGTTTGTTATTTTCTCTGCAGTTTTGATTACCCTCTGCAGGGCCTTCCTGTCAGCTGCAGAGCTGCTGCTGTACCACACCAGGATGCTATCAGGACACTCCCTATGGGGCAGTGATAAAACCACACCAGCAGTTTTTGTGGCAGGTTGATCTTCCTGAGAGCCCTCAGGAAGTACAGGTGCTGGCCAGTAAATTAGAATATCATCAAAAGGTTGAAAATATTTCAGTAATTCCATTCAAAACGTGAAACTTGTACATTATATTCATGCAATGCACACAGACCAATGTATTTCCAATGTTCATTACATTTAAATTTGATATTTATAGGTGACAACCAATGAAAACATCAAATCTGGTATCTCAGAAAATTAGAATATTCTAAAGGCCAATGAAAAAATGTTTGTTTCTCTAATGTTGGCCAACTGAAAAGAATGAACATGAAAAGAATGTGCATGTATAGCACTCAATACTTAGTCGGGGCTCCTTTTGCCTCAATAACTGCAGTAATGCGGCGTGGCATGGACTCGATCAGTCTGTGGCACTGCTCAGGTGTTATGAGAGCCCAGGTTGCTCTGATAGTCGTCTTCAGCTCCTCTGCATTGTTGGGTCTAGCGTATTGCATCCTCCGCTTCACAATACCCCATAGATTTTCTATGGGGTTAAGGTCAGGCGAGTTTGCTGGCCAATCAAGGACAGGGATACCATGGTCCTTGAACCAGGTGCTGGTGGTTTTGGCACTGTGTGCAGGTGCCAAGTCCTGTTGAAAGGTGAAGTCTGCATCCCCATAAAGTTGGTCAGCAGCAGGAAGCATGAAGTGCTCTAAAACTTCCTGGTAGACGGCTGCATTGACCCTGGACCTCAGGAAACAGAGTGGGCCAACACCGGCAGATGACATGGCACCCCACACCATCACTGACGGTGGAAACTTTACACTGGACCTCATGCAACGTGGATTCTGTGCTTCTCCGCTCTTCCTCCAGACTCTGGGTCCTTGATTTCCAAAGGAAATGCAGAACTTGCTTTCATCAGAAAACATAACTTTGGACCACTCAGCATCAGTCCAGTCCTTTTTGTCCTTGGCCCAGGCGAGACGCTTCTTGCGCTGTTTCTTGTTCAAGAGTGGCTTGACACACGGAATGCGACACCTGAATCCCATGTCTTTCATGAGTCTCCTCGTGGTGGTTCTTGAAGCGCTGACTCCAGCTGCAGTCCACTCTTTGTGGATCTCCCCCACATTTTTGAATGGGTTTGTCGTCACAATTCTCTGCAGGGTGCGGTTATCCCTAGAGCTTGTACACTTTTTTCTACCACATTTTTTCCGTCCCTTCGCCTGTCTGTTAATGTGCTTGGACACAGAGCTCTGCGAACAGCCAGCTTCTTTAGCAATCACCTTTTGTGTCTTGCCCTCCTTGTGCAAGGTGTCAATGATTGTCTTTTGGACAGCTGTTAAGTCAGAAGTCTTCCCCATGATTGTGGTGCCTTCAAAACAAGACTGAGGGACCTTTTAAAGGCCTTTGCAGGTGTTTTGAGTAAATCAGCTGATTAGAGTGGCAGCAGGTGTCTTCTATATTCAGCCTTTTCAGAATATTCTAATTTTTTGAGATACCAAATTTGGAGTTTTCATTAGTTGTCACTTATGAATATCAAATTTAAATGTAATGAACATTGGAAATACATTGGTCTGTGTGCATTGCATGAATATAATGTACAAGTTTCACGTTTTGAATGGAATTACTGAAATATTTTCAACCTTTTGATGATATTCTAATTTACTGGCCAGCACCTGTATAGCCGTTGTTGTGCCTTCTCTATCAGACATTTGGTGTTGTGTGTCTGTGTGAGGTGCTCTGATTTGTTTGTGCCCAGGAACTTGAACTCTGACACGCTCTCCACCTGCTTATTGTGAGTGACTGGTGCTCCACATTTTTCCTTCTCGGGTCATTGATGATTTCTTAGGTTTTGTCGGTGTTCAGGGTCAGGTTGTTAGCTGTACACCAGCTACTGCAAATCTTTCCTGTACACAGACTCATTTCCCTGGCTGATTAGGCCCACCACGATTGTATCGTCAGCAAATATAATGATAGCATTGGTGTTGTGGGTGGGCTTACAGTCAAGTGCGTACAGGGAGAGACTCCTCACGCAGCTCCTGTGCTAGGTCACTCCGAGTTTTCATGCAGGCTGAACATGAAAATAGTCTTTTGCATTACCTTCTGATAGGAAATAGACTGTGAAACGCTAGAATTTGAAAAGCCTGACAGGTCTAACTCACACTGCCACTTAACATCCATGGAGTCATCCATCTTGACTCACAATGGGGAGAGCTGTTGTTGGTTTAGCGTCCAGGAAACAGCAGAGAACATCAAAGTTGCAAATCATACTGAGTCAGTCATGTTGCTGTTGTCCAATCAGAGGCGAGATGTCCAAATATTGGGAAATAAAACTCCAAAACCTGCCATCTGAATCTACTTTCTCCTCCAGGTAACTTATACTCCCTGATTCAGGCATACCTGAGCTTTGTTTTCCCCAAATACGACTTACAAGGCATTCTTTCCTTCTAGAGACCACTGTAGATGTATTGAATAAATGAGTGTTCAAAACCTTTAATAACATTTTAAGCCGTTGATTTATTGACAGTGCACTGTGATTTAAAAAGCACATTGTTTGATAAAAACCTACTGAGTGGTAAAGTTTCAGACAGTTTTCTCACAGGAGGGGAAAGAAGGCTTTCCTAGCTATTTATCTACTATACTGTATGTTAAACCGAAGCTGTATATTACAGGCCCGTAGAAAAACAAGCCACTCTCTCACTTCAAAATATTAACACATTTCTTATCAATTATGTCTCTGCAGAACATTTTTAATTGAAAAAGGAAAATCAGGTGTGCAAAACTACTTTTTTTCTTTAAGATAAAAAACTACATTTAAATTGTTTTTATTTCCAGCCACTCAAACCAAATTCTGGCCAATTTGCAAAAAGAAAACAAAATCTGTATTTCTAGAAATTTGGAAAACTCTTAATGGCCAGTTGCATTTAACTTCCTTGATGGAATAGAGAAACAAAGTTGACCTACTGTCCTGTCGTCCCTCCTCTGTCAGGCTCCCCTCTCGCCAACGGAAAGCTGCATCTTCACAGCTCAGTAAAGCGGAAGCTGGCTGACGAGAAGGGTTATGTGTTTGACAAGCGGCTCAGGTACAACGTGCGACAGAACGAGAGCAACTGTCGATTCAGAGACATCGTGGTCAGAAAGGAAGAAGGCTTCACTCATGTTCTGCTCTCCAGCCAAACCACAGACAACAACGCTCTTACGCCAGAGGTGAGAGCAAACACATCCATTTCCTCTGTATGTATGTCTGTTAAGTAATTTTGTTTGATCTGGGAAGACATGATTCACCAAGGCCCCACTGAGATGATTCTTCCTGCTTAACAGTCACCATAAAGCTTCATTTGGAAAGATTTGTATTTCCACTTACTGCTGTAGCGAGACTTAAGAGTTATTCAGCATCTGCTCTGAGTGAGCCATTCAGGAGCCGGAGTGGAAGAAGCTGTAGTTAAATGTGACAGCTACCCAAAGTGGCACTGTCAGCTGAATGAATGTAACGTGGAGTACAGCTGAGAGATTGACAGTTTCTTTCAAGCTGTCTCTTACCAGAGTTGGGCTCTACAACATTGGGTATACAGTACATTTAATCCAGTGCTCTTCCATCTGTTGTTGCTGCAGCCAAATTCTTGTTGAACTAGTGGAAGATCAGGCTGCAGCTTCAGAGGAACCAAACACCCCGGAGTGATTTTCACTGATTCTGCTGCAAGAGGTGGCAGTGTTTCCAGGAAACACTCAATAATGTCACTTATGTACCTTTTAAAAATGCAATTGATACCCCATAGCACAAAAAGTTTTTGGTATTTTATTTTATTTTTTTGATGCTTTGCACACGCACTGAGCAGGATCTCACTATTTTTAGACACCGTTCTGATTAGGTCTGATATACCAGCTGTGTCCTCTCTACAGGCATTTAGGAGGCAAAATCTGAGCCAAGCTGAGTTCTCTGGCTTTCGCTGCATACTTTTCATAACCTCTTCGACAATTTGTTGGCCACCTGCTGACTCTCCGTCAGTTCAACTCTCTCAGTAAAAGTAGCATCCGGCAGCAAACTAGATCCAGAATTCTCAATTTACTCTTTGACTTTATTTGACATTAATATAAAAAATCATTTCAAAAGTGTTTTCGGAGCTTTGTTAAGGATTTATTGAGCTGACTTCTTGCAGAAACAAACCAGCTTGAGATTGGTTGCTCTTTTAACACATCAATTTGCATCAAACTGGGTAAATCTAGTTACATTTCATGGAGATGTATTATGTCATTTTTTAAAGCTATTTTTGATTTGGGACAAACTAAACACTGCATGAATGAAATTAAAAAGATAAATTTAACTGATTTTTTAGTTAAAATTATAATTTCACAGTTGTTCAACACTTACTTTACCTCTTTTGAAGCAAATTCCTTACATTTATTATTTCTAAGAGCCTGGGTTGGCCAGAGATAATGGTATGGATCCCTGCCATCCACCACTGGCTCAACTCTAAGTAAACAGGATTTTCTGCTACTCAGATGTTAGAGCCTCAGATCTCCCACCGAGGGCTGTTCTCTCTTTGATGCTGCATTGTGAGCAAGGCAGACTGTACCTCACAGGCGCTGAAGTGGCCTAAACTGTGTGTACATGCGTGTGTGTGTGTGTGTGTGTGTGTGTGTGTGTGTGTGTGTGTGTGTGTGTGTGTGTGTGTGTGTGTGTGTGTGTGTGTGTGTGTGTGTACTTTTGTGTGCGACAGTAAGCCTGAAAGATGTGGGCTTATCAAACAGCTTGGATACCTGCTTTTGTGTCTCTCAGGCTTTGAAGCTGCAGAAACAAGAGAGCTGGATGTGAGCTAACTGAAAGGCTGCAGCCCAAGAAGATCTTTCAAAAAATATCCCACAACATTTTTGCTTTTTGCTAAATGCTGTAACAAGTTGAAAAAAAGCTCCTCGTCCTACAAGTGGTGCTTGTTCTTTTTCCTTCCTGGTATTTTTTTCTTCTAATTAATCATGAGTGATTTTTAACTCCAACGAGCTGATTATAAGAAAGTTAGAACCTAACAGGCATAATAATTATATAACGCTGGTTTGTGATTAAAGAGACGATTTGTAGCTTTTACCGTTAATCTCTGGACATGTCCATCGAAATGTTGCTGAGAACGAATTAAATAATGTCCAGTTGTTGAAAATATTGGTGGGTTCGTGACATTAAACCATAAAAATCGGTTCTAAAGTAAATGGAAGCGGGTCTCTGGGCAACGCCATATTTCCTTCTACGGGAGCCCATGAAGACAAAATGCATTTACTGATTTGAAACAGATGGTAACAAAACCTTCACCATTCATAAACATTGTTGTTTTACACATTCACATCTTCACTCGTTGCCAGTGATGAAAGGCAGTCTGATGTGCTTGTCATGTTGCTGGAGGTTGCGCTCCCAGGGATTTTTGACCCTAATGGCCATCCGTCGGTTACATTGTCGGTTGGTAAGGTTTTACTCGAACACAAAAATACTGCTTACTTTCAATGATTTAGGTTTACACTGCCCCCATTGCCGGGAAACATACACATTGTCATTTTAATAATCTGTGGCTACATCTTTGTATTGAGATCTCACCACATGCCTGCTTCACTAAAAGTGTACTGTGGCTGTTTTTTGTTTCAACTTTTCTACATTGTTTACCTCCATAATCTGCTCATACTCACAAATAAATCTGCATTAATATTATGCTGACACAAACATATACATCGGTTTTAGCCACTTTAAAGATGTGAAATACTGAAAAATGATTATTTCTGCTTATAATCAGTCTCTCTGAGTTTTTCAGGCAGGCTACACATATCTCCTGCATTAGCTTATGATAGAAAATAATTGGTGAAATGCTAGAATTTGAAAGGCCTGACCGACAGTTTGGCGTCGGTAACATCTCTGCTAGCAGATACTAACTGTTAGCGTTAGCAACTCAACCACACAACAGAAGCTCCTCCAGGCTTGTGTTATTTGTGGAAGTAAAGCATCCATGTTGCAGAGCTAACAGATTCAATGGCAGAGTTGTGTTGCTGTTACCCAATCAGAGGCAAGAAAATTTCAGGAAATAAGACTCCAAATATTGCTGTGCTGCTGCAGCAGACTTGTCCGTGCGGATCCAGGTGCTTCTGGGCTTTTTTTGCCCTGAGTACGACTCACAAGGAATAAATAAATATGCATAATTTCACAATAACGTATTACACTCACTTGTAATAAATAAAATAAAAGCTCTGTTGTCCAGAAGATTTGATGGGGCTTTCCACCTCAGTGGGCACAAATTTCTCAGCAAAGCTAACAAACTAATACCTCACCATAGTGTATTGACAAGAGTATTTCATAGTTTATCAGTCCCAAAAGAAAGTAAAAGTGAATTAAACTCAACAAACGAGGCATGTTTGAGTTCCTCTTACTTAGCCAGCGGATAATGCCCACAGGCACAGAACATCACCTCATAAAATCACTGCAGAGGTGTTTTTTTTACTTAGTTTTTATTACGATCTCTTGAATTCAGAAAAAAAGGTTTTATATATATATAATTATGTTGTTACTTTAGAAAAACAGACCTTTTTCATTTTTTCAAGTGAATGCAATAAGCTTACATGCAAATTATTTTGTTCTTAACTCCTGTAGAAAATGTGCTGTCCAGTACAAATATCTGAGACATTAGATTTTGTATTTCCATCCTTTCTAAAGCTCTGTACCATCAGGCTGATGTCTAACATAAACCAAGGATTGGTTCTTTTCCTTAATTATGTTAATGATTTGCTCCTGGGCTTGGATGCAGTGTTGTGATTCATAAAACACTGTAAAGTCTCTTGGAACATTGCATTTGTAATAACAGTATTTTGCTTTTGATGTATATCCTTGAGTTTTTGTGTTGTGGGCTGTGAAGATGACACCCTGCCTTGTACTTTTATCTTTGTGTCAGTCCACTTGTCGCAAGCAGCACCGAGAGATCAAGCCAGAATGAAATACAAATAAATCGCAGACATCAAGTGAGTTGTTCTTTATGCTCTTGGAACTGAAATGAGGGACATGTAGGCATGAAATTGGTACAGTGAAATAGTTTCTGCCCGTGTCACCATACGGTATGTGTTTATCAGAACACATCTAAAATATCTGCCACAGACGTTTTGTTGTTTTTAGATGTACTCTGGGTTTTGTTTGTGTCAAATCAGAAAAATTATCATTTTGTTGAACATGAGGTGTGATTTTGATATCGTGCATGTGCTTCAGTTGTCATATAAAATAGATATTTTTCCCATATTTTGCATATAAGTAAAGGAACTCAGAAAACCCTTTTTACATATATGTTCTTTTGGCTACTTCTCCAAAGCACAGCCTGAGTGTACGGAGGCCTGTTATAGAACCATATGGAGTCATGCTCGATTTTGTTTTGGTTTTGTTGTTGATTTTTGGCCCTTAGTCAAACTGGAGTGTTTCTGGGGGCCGTCATTCTACCTAATCACTTAGAAAAGCTCTTTGGTTATTTTGGCAATCAATTTGGCTGCTTCCTAGATTTCTTCTAATATGCTAAAGGTTTCCTGGTCATCAGTAACAAGCAGGTTGTTCACTGTCTTGCTTCTCCCAGTTCAAGGCCTTGAAATGTTTACATTTGCAACGTGATAAAGAGGGTTTATCTTCTTTTGAATGTGATAGAGCACAGACTAATGTGAGTGGGCTGTCTCAGAGCCCCTCCAGGTTGAATATTTTTCTGGCTTGTGAGATTATCTTTAATGTGTGTTATAACTGGCTTGTGGATGTACAACAGAAAAAAAACTACTGAAATTGCAAATCCAAGAATGCACTATAATAAGCAGCATTGTTACAGGCCTAGCTTTCCCCTCCCCTCAGCTACAGCAGCCCTTAATTGTCTCGTGCATCGTGTGCAGACAATAATAACAAGTGAGATAGTGTGCTTCAACGACATTGAAGACAGAACTTTGTGCCATACCACTTTGCAGTTTACTGATGTTGAAGCTGAGAAAATTCAAGGTTGACTTTCTAAGTATTTTTTCAACATGCAAACTGTTCAAATTATCTCTATGTAAACCAGAAGATGCATTTGAGCACCGTCTCTTTGAGGATCACCTAAGCATCTCACAGGAGTTGTTCAGTCAGTAGTGCAGTCTAGCTTCATTCCAGATAGTGATGAACTTGAGCCAATAAAAGGGAGAGGATGCTCGCTGCAGAACCACAAAGGCAGAGCTGCACCAGA